CATCGCTCACCTCCGTCAACCACCGCTTACTGGACGTCATCAGTCGACGTCATAACGTGGAAAGCTAGTAACCCTTTCCCGCCTATGGGACAAGGGGCATCTGTAATCATCATCTTATAGTGGATTTTTACAACTGGGCAAGGCCCCGTGGTTTTTCCCTTTTTACGGGTTTTTCACGTAAAAATTTCTGGTGTGATCACAGCTTGATTCACTTTCATCTGAGTGTGTGCTGCATTTTCGTGCAACGCTAAGACGATAATCCATTACTCTACCGCCGCGAATTTTCTAGCACGCATCAGGTATAAATGTAAAAAATAGATTGTATATGTGTTATATATATAAATACATAGAAATTAACGGAATATTGTGATGAATCATCGCGGGCAATAATGCCAAAAGGACCCGTCTTATTCACGAAATGGCATTATTGTATCTTAATATTTAGGCCACGTGTCATCGACCTGAACTCGTAGAGTACGTTTTATGACCTATTAGGCGTCCTATTAGAAGGATTATAGCCAGCATGCATGAAAAGCTCGCACGTGTCGGGCCCTGAAAAAGAAAATATTATCTGAATTAAAGATAAATTATTTAGTTTAAAATTTTCAAATAATGTAAATTTAAAATAATTGTCTCAATCAATCGGAACATTAACATGTGTGCGCTCAACACGGATCAGCTTGTCAGTGACTCCTTTATTCGGACAGATCCATATTGAATAATTTATTAGAGCAAGATTTACATATAGACCACTCAATTCTTATGTATTTACATGTCTAACTCCTATATGTGTGTGTGTGTGTGTGTGTGTGAGATATACCATCAACAATTTTTTATCATCCAATAAGAATCTAGTCAACTAATGATTTATTCGCTAAGTTAATGATCCAAATACGAATAATTTTTTCTTGTGCTCAATATATAAATTATTTTATTTTGGCTCAAATAATATATATATTTAAGATTGATCAGAGAATATTAGACAAGTCTCTTGACCAACCTCATATGACTAATAGTTTCATCTCACAAATAGGCGGGATCGAACCCGTGACTAAATGGGTCTTACAAACTTTGTCAACCAAAGAGTCACAGTTAGGGTTGTAAACGAACCGAGCTTGAGCGAGCTCAGGCTTGGCTCGTGTTCGGCTCGTTCAAAATAGCTCGTGTTCAAAATCGGCACTTGTTCGAAATCGGCTCGTGAACAGTGTGTTCATGTTCGGCTTGAAATTGGCTCATTAAATTAAAATTGAGGAAAATAGATGTAAAGTGCGTGATTCGAACTTGGATCAAATCTATACAAAAAAAGACACTTACCACATTGTCACATGAGGTGTTATGATTTAAACTTAGACATAAATATATATAATATATTATTATATAAATAAAATAATATATGTAATATATTGTTATATAAAAATTTGTATAAATTTTTTTTTCAAGTCATTTCGAGCCGAACATGAGTTGTTCGCGAACAACGAGCCAAATTGACAGCCCTAGTCACAGTGAACGACACGGGGTTTCTAGATGCATAACACCCAATTCTTATGCATTTATTTATCTCACACCCAAACTTTCAGTTTTACAAGCACCCTATCTATAGGAAATAATATATATTATATAAATAGATATCAACATTGTAGTACTAAATATGCAAATATATAAGAATTAAGGGGTATATATGCAAATCCCTCTAATAAATTATATGCATTGCAAGAACATACAGACGTAGAGATCTAGGAGCTTAGTATAACGCATTGAAGATGTTGATCACCGGAATCATCAAAATATAAAAGAAGCCTTTATATAAATACCACCCAATGCCTATGTATTTACTTCTCTAACATCCAGATTTTACCTTTTACATTTAAACCACCCAAATATGTCATCACATAGGGTGTATGTATGTAAAAATTGAAGTCTTGGTGTTAGATTTGTAAATACATGAGAATTAAACGGTATGTATGTAAAATCTTCCAATATAAAAATGATAACAAGCAGAAGCAATTAAGCAGTAAAAAACCAAAATCCACTACAAAATAATAGAATGTGGCATAAATGTAAATTTCAAATACATCCAAACAAATAGCTATTAACATTTTTACCAAAAATCTGTAGCAGTTCTCACATGAGTTGATAAAACTACTAACAGAAATAGCTTTCTTTTCCATGCTGCCACTAAAAAGAACATGGAGCCAAAAAAGAAAAAATTCAAAATAGGTTTTGAAATAAAAATAAGTCATTTTTAGTACCAAATTTGCCTTCCATTACCTCATTTTGACCCCACAGGTATCTGCTTGATGGCTGCAGCAATGGGCATGCTGAGGAACCCGATGAGTACGGTCAACAACCATTGCGAAGATGTCAATGGTGTCGTATTCGCGAATTCGCCGAGAAATTGGATGATGATGAATTGGAAGATAACGGTCGTGGAGAGGACGCCGACGAAAATGTAGTTGTTGAGGATGCCTTCGAAGACGTTAATCTTCTCCATCTCCCTAGAGCTGATTTCGTTGAAGAGCTGTAAAAAGAACGCAGAATGTTAGTGGAAGAAGTGGAATGATGGCGAATGACAAAATATATGAATGAGCTCTTAGCGAGCCGAGCCTGATCGATAAAGATTTGTTTTGTAATAATCTTATTGATCACAAGAACTAAAAAGTTTTAATTGTGCTTGGTTCGTAGGCAGGAAGTTGAATTCGAGCCAAATATTTAGCAGAATATGAGTCATTTGTGATCATTGATCTTTTTGACAGCCTTTGGAACTTCGAGAAACTTAGAGATTTGATTGATACTTAGGAAATAAACTCAAAAATATCCATGCATTCTTGCATGCAAAATAAAATCTACGAAGGCTAATAATCTAAACCATAATCTTAAAGAATTACATTTCATGTAAGGAATCAGGAGCAATTGAAGATTCAATTTAATGATTGCACGCGAAATAATACAAGCGTCTTTAATATAAGATGGCTTCAAGATTTTACTATTAAACATGACTTGCCTCAAGACAATCTTGTTCATGTATATTGATAAATTGAGACATACAATGAAAGATTTGTTAGTGGTATCACAGCTGCAATCCCTACAGAAAAGGCATCACTTTCTACTCTTAAAACTCTCAACCTATTATGACAACATAATCATGTGTACATCAATATGATCCAATTAAGCAAATTGTGGTTTATGAATACCTTATTGAAGATGAAATAGATAAAAAATTACAATTACAATTAGATTCTTTTGAATTTGTTGAGTCCTAATTAATAATTAATTTAGAGCCTTTTCATGACCTAAAATTACCCTTACAAGAGGTAGAAATTGAGTTTGAAATCAAAATTAAGAATGAAATCATATATCACAACTTGAAGATCCAAGTGAGAATGAATAGTCTTGAATGTAAGTTTAAGCATATAGAATAGGGCAAGAATAGCCATCTAACCATGTGTTAAACCCAGATCTATCTTAGAACTACAACCAAGGAATAGAACGTACGATCCAACATCAAGATCAACACATTTTCCATAGAAATTAGGGCAAACCCAATATTTGTTCAATACTTTAAACAACTCAACAAGAATACAAAGATAAATACCTATAATTTGAGAGGTAGAATATTAGTCTCAATTCCTATAATTCGAGATAGGAAGTCTCTCCCAACCCTAAACCTAAAACTCACAACTCAATCTCATGCATAAACCTAACCCTGGACATAACAAGTCTATTTATACTCAAAAATAATAATCATAAAAAGCTAAATTGTCTTTAGGCGTACAAAAGACAAATTTTCCCTTAAGCTAGACGCCAACGCAACAATACTCCCCACCCGCCCTAAAAAAAAAACCTTGTTCTCAAGGTGCGAAAAAGTGAGAATGTTCACCTACCCAACAACTATCTCTATTTCTTCATTCTCACCCTCCTCATCATGCATTATGAAAACTTGTACTTTTCAATCCTTGCAACAATGTCTTGGAGTAAATTTCTCATCAAACCGAAAACATAATCCCTTAGTTCGGTTCTCCCTAATTTATATCTATGTAAGACGTTTGCGTGTTGCTCTCGTTCTTGGCCCATTATTCGTGTCCAGTGAAGCCTCCCTATGGACTTCCACTGTTTGAGCTTTTGATATCGTCCTAATTGTAGCAGTTCGATATGTCGTTCCATCTTTATTGCTCATGCTGGCCTTCTTCATCTGATTCTTATCCTCTACCATCTGAGATAGCACTATCGTCTCCCTCAATCCCCATGGTCGAAATAATCGGAGTGGTGCCCGTACGTTGGGATTTAGGACTTTCATGAAATTTTACTCCAATCTTGCTACAGAAATCCCACTCAGTAGACTCGGCAATAGCTTAAATCCCTCCCTATATTCCATGAAAGTCCCTTCCTGAGTCAAGACATAGAATTGCTCGTGTAGATCTCTTCCCCGAATTGCTCTGAAATGTTCCAACAAAAAATCATTGAATTCCTCCCACAAATAGATCGGGTATCCAATCTCCCTACACTAATTCTAGGCTAGAACTTTCTCTTCCAAACATAACCCTATCGCCATGAGTTTCTCCCCCTCATCTAGCCCATTCACAGCAAAGTATCGCTTCGCCCGATACACCCACCCATGTGTGTCTTCCCCCTCGAAGATCGACATCTTCAACTTCTTAACTCTAGCATCTCCACCCCAACTCCCTCTTCCTCTATTGTTTCCCCCATGTATCGAGGGTAAAATTCACTCATTCAATCGTAGTCATATCCCCTCCCAGCTTCTCTTATTTCTCCTTTGTGCTTCTCCATACCTCTTGCATAATCTCTTCTCCATGTTCGGCCCAAACACCTCCATTAGAAATCTCTATTCCACACCTAATTGGAGCCCTGGGAGAGGGTTCATGATGGTGGATGTTTTCCTTCTCATATTCCTCTCATCCAATCTCATTTCCTTCTGGTTTTACAAATTGAACCGTCGGCGGGGTCTTGGACTGCATCTCAATGAGCTATCATCTCAAGAATTTCTCTCATGCTCTCAAATAGGTCCTTCATTCGGTTCTTAATGGAAGAAAACCTATCCCAGATCTAATTTTGTTGTAGTTCTCAGAATTTTTTGACCACTAAAAGACAAAAACACATTTACGCTGCCAGATGAGCCAAACAACCGAAAATTTTGAAATTTCAAAATGGGGACTGCAGAAAATGACGGGGTGCGATCACTCTACACGTCACGATCTCGTTGTTGATTATCAACTACACGAATCACGATCGAACCGCATGAGGCATGCCGCAATCCCGCCGTCGGCACCATACAAGCTTTGATTCGTGCGGTTCGCAGCTTCCTTTTGTGTTGAAGTCGCCCGCTGCGATTATGGGGGAAAAGATTGAAAGACGCAATCCTTCCCCATAACAATCCCAAGCGGAAGGAGGAGAAAGACATGATCCCATGTCCACCTTGCACGCGACTGTACGCGAATCAGTAAGTCGCGAACCCTTCGTCACCTTCCCCACAAGCTATGACACGCTTGTATCGCAACCACTGTGAGGAGAGGCATGTATTGATAGCTCTGATCGTGACTATATCGGGTAGATGATCTAAGAGGAAGAGAAGTTGGCGTTAGAGGAAGAGAAAAAATGGGAGTTTTGGGTCTTTGTATGCCGCTTCCCAACAACAGTGTCCGAGACCCGTCGGCTTGCACACGATCCTTCACGTTTCGGTAAGCAGCAATCCTTCGGCTCCACTTGCACGTGAATTTACGTGATTTTCGGGACTCGGTAAGCCGCGATTCTTCCCAGTTAGCTCCAATTGCGACTGTTTCGTGGGGTGAAGTCATGGAATCGTCTGCATGTCGCGATCCTTCCCCGCATAACGATCCTTGCCCAATAAAATCGACTGCAATGTCGTTGTTGGCTTTCCCGCAAGCTTTAATTGCAATTGTATTATGATCTCAAGCACTGTTTCCAAAATATATTGTTGTGATACCAATTTGATACAATCTAACGTCAACATCGGCACCTTTTTCAAAGAAATTGGGGCAAACACAATATTTCTTCAATAATGCAAACAAATCAACAAGGATATAAAAATAAAAACCTACAATTCGAGAGATAGGCGATCTCTCTCAATTCCTACAATTCGAAAAGTAGGAAGTCTCTCCCAATCCTAAACCTCATACTCACAACCCAATCTCATGCATAAACATAACCTTAGACATAATAAGCCTATTTATATCCAACAATAATAAAAATAAAACATTAAATTGCCTTTAGTCATAATAAAACAAATTTACCCATAAACTAGGCGCCAACGTAACAAACTTATGCACTGAAGAGGAGAGGGAGAGAGGGTTGATGAGAGAATTCTCGAATTTCTATTAAAAATACTTAGTAAAAGTTAAAAAGGGGACATTTGTCATATTGTGCAGTATTTCCTATTTATACGAGTCAAACCTCGTCTTTTTTAGGGGGAAGTGTAACACTATTTCAAAAAAGAACAATTCGCGCCACAAGGATTACCTAGTGTGACCCTATACAATTACTACTCCTGAGCCACAAAACTCATACTCCTCACAGGACGTTGAGAGTTGTCTGCTTTAATTTTACCCGAGTCGTCCAACTCTAGTTTTGAGTTGCACAATCGTGAGACTTAATTTCATATGCTTGTTATCAGGCATCTGCGTTTAATTGACTAACTTTTTGGGATGCCCTCACTTGTCGGTTGATCTTGCTCATGGAGTTTGAGATAGTAAATGGGGGGTTTGGATGCCTGTTATTGATATTTGCTCACCTTCTGTCCAATCATCTTTCCATCTTATTCCTGGGTGGCTTGGTAGCCTGATGTTAAGATTCGTTTGTCTTCTGTCCGGTCACCCTTTCTATATTGATTTTGCAGCTCGTAGAGAGAGGGTCGTCTGATTCAGCTTGGTCAATTGAACCAGTTGTTCGGTCAACATAATCTCTATCTTTTCCCCTTCTCTAGTTGGTTCGATTGGACTTCCATGAGACTACTTTTTGCTAATGAGCGTGAAATTGAATTTGAGTTTGACTTTAAACTTCTGTTAGAGATAAAACATGAAATATTAAGTGAATATATAATCATAATGCAATTGGAATCTATATATAATGTTGATTATAAATCTGAACTTCAATAAGAAATTAAGTAAATTCTTTAATCTAAACCTCAGTTATATCCATTCTTGATTATGATCGTGTTCTACGTGAAATTGAATGTCCTAAAGATGAACCCGGACTTCTCATAGAAACTCATATCTAAGAAATTGAGCTTTAAAATACAGAATATACTCCTGAATGTGAAGGTGAATAGTTACAATCGTTCAACCAAATGAGTAAACAAATAAAAGTACACTATGGAAGTGAAAAAAAATATGATAACTAAAAATCAATAAAATAAGTTGGGTTTAACTCATTATGTTAATGAAGTTATCTCCACTGCAAGTCAAATTGAAATTGATTTTGTGTTAGGTTCTAAATTTCTTAAATTTGAAACTCATAGAGATAAATACATAAAAAAGGCAAAATTGAATTAATATTTCAATGAAGTAGTTGGTAAAGAGTTCCTTAAGAGAAGTTTAAATATTAAAATCCCATCCATTCAGATAAATATGAAAATATGCAAGTCATCGCCACTAATAATTAAGCTACTTGAATTGCCCTTATTAGATAAACTTATCTGTTAGCATAGGCTTTTGATATATGTGTGTAGAAAATAAAAGAATAAAGAAAGCACTCAAGAATTTTCTCATGTTTCTTTATATAGGATAGGAGGTATATATATGTAACTCCAAGAGGCAATACAAATTAAATAAAAAAGGGCCAGTGATCCTATAGAGAAGCACATAGATTGCAATCCGAGCGCCATCAACAAATTGATTCAATAGTATAAAGGCTTGATCAACATGCCTCAAGTTCTTAGCTATGACTAGTGAGTGAGCAGGCCTCACTATAGTCTTGAGTAAAAATTCAACAGTGTTGCGTGCATGTTTTCAATTATACACATTACTTCTTTCATACCATTTATATGATTTGAAAAAATTGTTTGATTTATATAAAGGATTTGTACTGAACTAACAATTAATAATAGTAATTATAGGTTTATTCCATATGCAAGCAGGAAACATCTCGAATTTAAAGAAAAAAATAAAAATAAACTAAAAAAATAATGATGCGTCTAAATCTAAAGAAATTCCTTCAAGAGGCATTGAAAAATTAACTGTGATAAAAAAGATAACAGTTTTGTCAAGTCTTGGTGCTAATGCTTTCGAAGTGGAAATTTTGTGAAGTACTAGGATCAGCTTATCTCTTCAATATATCTAATTTGATTTTAGTCCATAACGTATCACCAATAAATCACATATTTCTTGTGCCCAGAATTGTAAATGAACCAAGTTGTGACAAATATTATATATTTCAATTTGTTTATTTATTTTCTCAATTATTTCGAGCGGAGCGTAAGAACGACAAGTGTTTCAAAATCTTTTTAGCCTCATCTACTATTTTTTTTCATGATCAAAGTATAAACGAGGCTAAATAATCATATGTAAGATTTTTATAATTAAACAAATATCCTTATGACTCATAATGAATGCCTTAAAAGAATTACCAAAATTGAAACTACTCCACTCAACATTATCTCTTATTTTTTATGAAAATAAAATTAGCTGTTTAATCGATAAATCTAATTATTTATTGTCTAATTTCACTAAACAGTTCCAACTTAAAAATGAACTAAATTTTACCCTGCTCACCAAATTATTTATTCAATATTTTCATCAAATTATTTCTAAAAATATAAAAAAAAATTTAAAGTGCAAAGAATATAATAATATTAACGTAATGACATAGAAAAAGTTATTAAAAAGTAATTAAACCAGTAGTGAGTTACTAGTTAAAGAACAAATAAGCATGTTCAAGAACTCAAATGAACAGGGAAATCAATGTTGAAGCTTTATTTATTTATATGCCAAGCTTTAAAAACTTTGTTCAAACTTGTCCAATTATCTAAATAAATGAACACAAAGAAACTTTATATGGACAAGTATTGAATTTCTCATTAAGTGAGAATCACTTACAACCCTATTTGTGCCATTAGATGATATAATTCTTCATGAATTAGCTTGTAGGAGCACAGCAGTTTTCACAAATTTTCACACAAAAATCAAATAATGAAGTAAATTGAAAATTCAGCGTTCATTGGGAATGTAATTCATGTGATTGATTCATTACTTATTATTTCCATGTTAATAAAAACATACTTATCCTATTCAAACAGGATGTCTTCTCAAGTATTTTGAATAAGTTGTAACTCATTACATGGTGAAACAAATAACAAGCACTACATAGTAACGTATCGCCTCGAGGTACTAATTTGTCTCCTGCCACCATAACGTTGTTGGGGAAAATAATTCCTTCTTTCATCCAAGCTATTAAGCAACTTAAGAGTTGAATCTACCACTAGAATTTAAGGAGAATGAGTTGAAACTTGATATTTTATAGTATATTCTAATAAATGTTGCGTAGTTTCTCATTTTGGGACTTAAAAGAAATGAATTTATGAAGACAATAAATCCGACCTTTGAGATATATGAAAATTTAAAAATTATGAATATTGAAATACAAATTCAGTAGTTCTCTCTTCTTTTGTGCCTCTGTTGGATGTGTATTATTCAAATGCTTCATATGTGTGAATGAATAGTTCTTTGGGGGACAACTTCATGTACTGACATAAGACATAGTTCTTATCTGAGGTGAAGTTTTCCTTCAAATTGCTTAGTTGTTGATTTAGTGAGAGTAAATATGATTGTCAAATAAGATACATACGAAGTTTATTTTTAAAATGTGAACTAGATTCGTTCCTAAATTTTATTGTTTATTGTAAGCTTCTTGTAAAAATTTAAATTTGCAAGATTGCTAAACGATATTTTCAAATGAGTACATCATACATGTTGTCCATACATTAAGCGTGACAAATGTTTGCCACAATTATAAATTAGCAATCTACGCATTGTAGTTTTCTTTTAGTTTCATCTTGCATATAGTTTTAGGTCGCATTAGAAACCTTAGACACTAAAAAGCTTTATATCAAACATATTTCTAAAAATGAAGGAAGCTCATTTAATTCATATTTGAAAAAAGATTAGATAAGCTTCAGAACAACAGTCAATGGAAATGACATGGTTGCTAACATAACAAGGGACTTAGTTGACCATTTTTTGGAAAAAAATGGGAACAATCAAAACCAAAAGAAAACATGAGGGAGTTAACTGCAGTTCGCTCTTTGCTTAAAGATTGAAAAAAAGGTAGATTTACATACATACCACTCAATTCCTATGTATTTACGTATCTAACGGGCAAACTTCAATTTTTACATACATAACCCTTACAATGCATGAAAACGTGTATTTCAGTTTTTAAAAGTTAAGTGGTGTATTTCTGATTGATGTGAAAGATTTGGTGGTATAAATGTAAAAAGTTAAATTTGCATAAAAAGCATCACCGCAAATTACCTGGCAGAACACAAAAGTGTTGAAGATAAGTGTATTCAAGGTGAGCTCAGAGCCAGCGCCTTCAAGACCGAAGAGCCTTCTACCTTCTGTCTGGAGATACCAAATTACAAAAAACTGATAGAAAGATTGTCCAAAGATATTTCTCCACATCACATTGCTGATAAAGTTCCCCTTCCGACCAACGGGCATCCTCTTCATTAACTCACCATTAGGAGGTTCGGTGGCAAGTGCAAGAGCTCCCAATGTATCCATGATCATGTTTACCCACAACAACTGAACAGCAGTCAGCGGAGCAGCACCTGAAATAATATTCATGTCGAGTAAAATGTCAAAATAAATCCTGACTATTCACATTGTGTCATTTTAGTCCCAGAGTTCATAAAACTGTTAAATTAGTCCCCCGGTTGTTTTAATGGAGGCTAAACTAGTCCTGATCAGGGACAATTTCAACCCATATTAAAAGAGTCTATGGACTAATTGACATTTTTATAAACTCTGAGACTAAAATAATCCATTGCAAAGAGTCTAAGGACTATTTTGACACATTCTCTATTCATTTATTAGAATAAAATTTATGAAAGCAAATTTGCAGAAATAAGGATTTGGTAACCAGAAAGGCTTGAAATGGTTTACCAGTAAGGCAAGCGGAGGAAAAGTTAACAATCAAGGCTACCACATTCACTGTCAGCTGAAACTGTACAAACTTTTGAATGTTTATGTAAACAGAACGTCCCCATTTGGCCACAGTCACAATTGTGGAGAAATTATCGTCAAGGATTATTACATCTGCACTCTCTTTTGCGACCTGTCGCAGAGAAATAAACAACATGGTAAAGAATATATTCTAGTTAGTCAAAGTTGGTCGAATATTTAAAAAATAATAATATTTGCTGGTTACGGTATATTTATTTAACTTCAAGTTGATAATGGAGCTCCATTAGCACAGCAATTAAAGTTTGTCGGTAAGGTTTGCAGAAAGAAGAACAATAGAAATAGGGGCATTTACATACATACCGCCCAGTCTCAATGTATTTACATATCTAACTCCTTAACTTGTACATTTATATCACCCAAATCTTTCCTGTCACATTAAAAATACCACTTATTTAACTTTTAAAATGTGAAAAATACTTTTTCATGCATAGATAAGGTGGCATATATGTAAAATTTTAAGTTTCGGTGTAAATATATAAGAATTGAGTGGTGTGTATGCACATGTGATAGGAATGAATAAGCTTTCTCGTGAATTAGGATGGAAATAATAGATTCTATTATGCCAATACAAAATTAAATCTCAAATACAAAAATAAAATAAACACCTACAATTCGAGGGGTAGGCGGTCTCTCCCATACCCTATCCCTAAGGTTCAAGATAAAAATCACACATTCTCTATCCCTAAACATATTAAGCATTCTTTATACCCCACAATAATAACTAATAAATAACTAAATTGCCCTTTTGGCCTTGCACATAACATAAGTCTTAAAATTATTTGACGGGCTCATCATCGACTTAGTGGAGCATGAGGGGCCCGGCGCCCTAGGCACCATTCAAGCAAACCTTCCAAAAAACATTGACCTACTGCCACCAATTTTACGAACGGATAACCTCCATCAATTTAAAAGTTCATGCTTTGTTGATTGCACTCAAAAAATTTATGATATATTCAGGCCCACATTTACAAAACTTCAAAATTTAAATTTTCAATAAGAATAATAAGAAAAATATTCTAACAAAACTCCAATATCCCTCATTACAATAAATGCAAGCAATTCCTTCCTCCACCAGTCCCAACCAAACTGTTTTTCAAAGAAAAAATAATTCCTATCAAAATCAAAGTCATCTAAAATGAAAATGTGCAATAATGCATACATGCATAAAAGCTAAACAAGAAAACAAAATAACCTTATAAAATAATCACAAAAATGAAAAGATTCAAGCATCAAAATAATCCCTTGATTATTTACGAGTTCATTTTAGTCTCATAGTATATAAAGGTGTCATATTAGTACCTAGGTTCTTTTATTATAGGTTAAAACAATCTTCCCCAAGGAGTCTTTTAGGCCCCCATTAAAGAGTCTGAGCTTAAATTGGCACTTTATAATCTCTGGAATTAAAATGTACTCCTATAAAAAATCAGGCAACGATTTTGATACTTTTCTCGAAATGAAAAACACAATGATGCCTGCACCAATACAATAACCATTTCCCTACCCTCTGACTTTAAAAAACAATTTAGAGAGATTAAAGAAACACGCAGATATATATCAAATCCAAATAGTATAAGAGATAATCTGTCCGCATATTTTCATATCCAATAGGATGTATAAATGAGTTAAATTCAAAACCAATTAATTACAAGTTAATAATGTTCAATGGAAAAAAATGCCTTCTGTAGGAATTAGAAAACATCACCTCAGTTCCTGCAATTCCCATTGCAAGCCCAATATCCGCCTCATGAAGGGCAGGTGCATCATTCGTGCCATCGCCCGTCACAGCAACGACCTCGTTGAACAAAGTGCGTAGATGCCTCACAAGTGTATGTTTATCTAACGGCGAAGATCTAGCCATCACCTATTAAATCGAGAGTTCAGTTCAGATTCTCTAAACAGTTATACATACAATTGCAACAGTAAGAAATATCTAATAGGAAAATTTGCATACCTAGTACACAATTCTAATGTATTTACATATCTCCCGTCTAAACTTTCATATATACATGATACATCCATAACACTTTGGTATTTTGTAGCTATGCATGAAAAGGTGTATTTCAATTTTAAAACTGGTAATAGTGCTACTTTTGATGTGATATTAAAGATTTGAGTAACAGGTGCATAAATATGAAAGCTAAGGAGTGAGATATGTAAATACATAAGAATTGCATCCAATGTAGGTAAATGCCCCTATATCTAATAACTAGGAGACCTGTATCCTTGGAATTAATTCCATCATTTGTTCAAGACTCTTTTCCCTAAACTCCGGACCTTCTATAGCCACGCCGTCATCCGTAAGAATGCCGCATTCTCGAGCAATAGCCTTTGCAGTATTAATGTTATCGCCAGTAACCATTCTCACCGCAATTCCGGCAGATCGACAAACAGCCACAGACTCCTTAACACCGGGTCTGACAGGATCCTTAATGCCCACAATTCCAATACATGTGTAGCCATCAGAAGGGATTTGTTGATTAGCTGTGAAGTCATCTTCTACCTCCATATAGGCCAGGCAAAGCGTCCGGAGAGCTTCTTTAGCAAAACTTTCAATTGTATCCTTGAGATGATTGGTTGTTGCTAAATCAAGTGGAACAGCATTACCTGCGGCATCTAAAACCTTATCACAAGAAGCTAGAACTATTTCAGAGGCGCCCTTACAGTGGGTGCGGAATCCTCCTTGGGGAAGTTGGATCACAACACCCATTCTTTTCTTCGCTGAGTTAAAGGGTTCGACTTTAATAATCTTAACCACTTCGCGCTCCGCTTGAAAATTACCACCAAGAGACAAACCAAATTCCAATATAGCAGTCTCGGTTGGTGTTCCTAAAATTTCAATCTTTCCTTGTTGGTTGGTTACAATTTCTCCTCCTGTATTATTAAATATGGACTGCATAAGGATATTAAGCACCGTTTGTGGAAGTTTAGAGCGCATGCTTGAGGCATCAGTAAGATTGGATAATTCAACAACATTTCCACAGATGCAAGCTTTCACCACAGTCATGTGATTGGTCGTCAAAGTTCCCGTCTTGTCGCTGCAGATGGTCGTAGCAGAGCCCATAGTTTCACAAGCTGCAAGATTACGAACTAATGCTTTATCGTTCATCATCTTCTTCATGGCAAAGGCAAGACTCAAGGTCACAGCTAGAGGCAGCCCTTCTGGAACTGCAACAACTACAATAGTAACAGCAATGGCAAAATATTCTAACAAGTGCAACGCATCGTCTCCTGTCCAGCTGAATAATGTCCCGGCATTAAACTTAAGCAAGATAAGGGATTGAGCCATCACAGCGAAAGTAACAACAGCGAAGAATAAGCCAATCTTCCCGATGATTGTAGCGACGCCGTTGAGCTTAACCTGTAAAGGAGTTTCATCATCTCCTCCTTCGCTAAGTGTGGCCATCAACTTACCCCATTGAGTTCTCATGCCAACAGTTGTTACCAACATTTTACACGAGCCATCCTGAACCTTAGTTCCAGATAAGAGAAAAGGATTTTCTGCCGTTACGCCGACGGGTTCGCTCTCCCCAGTTAAACTTGACTCATCGATTAATAGAGAAAATCCAGAGAGAAAAAGTCCATCAGCGGGGACTTGGTCTCCTATTGCTAGATGGACAACATCACCAGGAAGAAGGTCATAGATTGACATTTTCTGTCTAAACCCATTTCGTGTGACTTGTATGGTGATTTTCTTTTTCTCCTTATCCAAGTCCTTGAACTGCAAAGATTGTCGGTAATCACTCGTAGCGGTAACAAAGACGACTAACAAGATACTCGCAACAATTCCGAGGCCATCATGAGCGCCTTTTGGCCATCCTTCTGTCAGAATACCGACAATCAGAGAAACAAAGGCACAGGCGCCGAGAATCATAAGAGTCATGTCTTGAAGTGCTTCCCACAAGTATATGAAAAAGCTCCTTGATTCGCTTTCAGTAAACTTATTAATTCCATAAATATCTTGCCTGACCTTCAAAGTTTCCTCAGAAATGGTGAGGCCATTAGTAGCGGATGTAGACAGTTTGTTTGCTAGACCATCCACCCCACCATGCATTTTTAACTTCTTGATGGCATGTCCTTCAACTATGGACCCCAATTCATCAGCACAAATCTGAAATCCTGCAGCTTTGACTTCATCGGGTACAGTGTATTCGCTTGAAATTGTGAGGCCTAAAACATCAAGGATGTTTGTATTCACGCAAGGCATTCTAAAAACCAGGAAGGAGCAAAAAGTAGTAAATAATATAGATGAAGTTGGAAGTCACCATGTATAAACTGAAGTGCGGCTTTTGAAACCAATACAGCTACTCGCAGTTTCTCCTGTAAAGCGCAAGAAGAAACCAGTTTCAAAATATTAGCACAAACATGTTAATTATTCATAACACTCAAAATTCAAAATAAAAATACATAAATGGAAAGAGAAATATATCAAATGATCTCCTAAGTAAACAAAAATTAGACTTAAATGATTGTCATGAAAATCTTTAGCGAGGAGTCTAAAGATGCCCTGCATCAATGCTCCCTCACTCTCCAATGAATGCAGATCCAAGTCTCATGCAGGATTCAATCGGTGCAATTCCCCTTGGGTCAACCAGGAATCCTTCAGGTGTGCAAGCTATCTCCAACAAACAAAGTATATCAGAATTGGTCTGTACGTAGTGGAATTGATCTGTTCATCTAAATCCAATCAAATCAATTTGAGTTCAGATCACAGTTCCGAGGTGCCAGTGACAATGGTGCCAAAGCAGCAGACAAGTCATAAAAAACTAACTGAACGGTTATATAGTTGGCTACACAAAAAGAAGTCAAAAACTTTGAGATAATAGAAAATTATGTCAAATCGTATAACGTGCCGTATATACGATAATGCATGTAGGCTGCTAGTGAGATGATGAAATCTCTCTGCCGAACTGAATTTGCATTCTATAAAACTTTGAATGAGATGAAACAAACATATTGAATTAGTTGATCTAGTAGAATGATCATGCCAAATTGTATCCGCTGAATTGATTAGCCAAATTGTTTGGATTCAGCGGTTGACTAGTGTTATCTGAGACATACTAGAATATTCTAATTGGGTCGCATGCTTGGGATGACTCCATATTTAAGTTTGAACTTTGACCTTCTGTGGGTATACATCTAGTTCCCTAATTTTTTTATCTATTTTATTATTTTAACTGTACAAATAATAAAAGAATAATAATTATCTGGCTAATAACTTATTCTCTATAACCTCTTTGAACTTTGCATTTATTCTTATTCATAACCATAAGCTCATGAGAGTAGTACTCTTCTCATTTTTGAAAAAAAACCTTCTTTTTCTTTTCCTTCATTCCTGTTCTTGCGATGGACGACATACAGATAGATCGAATATAGATTCCCAATGAGAAATTGGGTGCTTCTCTATATGGGAAGTGAGAGAAGGAAAAAGGCTAGAAAAAAAATAGTGTTGAGATAATGATCGATTCAGAGAAACCATCTTGAGAAGGGACTTCTTCCAACCCTCTCGCAGCAAAGCCACTAGTTCACGTTGGTGTCTTAGCCATTGCAGAAGATGTACTCTGAGAAACCCAACTGAAATTGAGCCTCCTCCATCTTCACAAGCTCCAACAACTATGAACAATTCTGACGTATAGGCGTTAGTTCCTGTTACTCGAGTGATGAGCGAGTTCAAAGAATTGAGCTCTTTATCATTACCTGAATGTTGTTCAGAAGGTGATATCTATATTGAAATGTTAATTTGACTTAGTTTTAAAACATTAATTTTTACAAATATTCTTCTATACATTAATCGTTCGATTTAATTTAAGACTTTCCGGGTGAAGATCGGTCAATCGATCAACAAATTTATCCTCAACAACTGCAGCAATTGTTTCCGTAGATCAGCCTTCTAAGAAAAAGAAGATCCTGAAGATAAGCTCTTAAAGAAGGAGATCAAGTTGAGATTCCTTTTGCCAATTTGTCAACTGAAAATAGAGGTGAGCATTCGGTCGATTTGGATGAATCAGTTTTCAAATTCACCAAACTGATTGCAACCAAAATCCAAAATCCAAAAAATCGAATCAATCAAAATTTTATAAAACCAAACCAAAATTTAATTCAGTTTAAACGGTTTGGCTATGAGCAAATTAAATTTTAGTAGTTGGTTGGAGTTATGTTATGAGTAAACATAAAAAATTACATATCTTACATGTATAATATTGATTTAATCTCATGAATCTTAAATTTACTTCCGAAATTTCAATTTTTTTTATTTGTTTGGTTAAATGAAAATTAAAACCAAACTTTTTCGATTTGGTACGATTTTTCAGTTTAGACCAGATAATGCACATCCCTACTGAAGGTAAATTTTCACATTTATATCTATTGACTTCTAAAATCATTACTAAATACAATTTAATATTATTCACAATAGAATTTTCAACTAATTACTCAGAGAAGTTCAACTAAACCTGTCGTCACCCAGATCCCCAAAATTCAAGAAACTCCCACGTCTCTAATGAAAGAGACTAATCAAGATTTATTCATTGCTGCTTCAATAACTCCCATAGTCCATTCTAAGATCGACATCAATAATAAAATTGAAGAGTTTACAAAAAGAAAAAATGATTGAATTCTGAGCAACGACAGAAGTTAAAGTGGTTACAATATTGAATATGCTTTATGGACTCAAAAATTCATTTGGAGAATTGAAGAAATAATCCGACAATATGAAAGACATGTCAAAGAAATGAAGGAGTGAGTTGCTGAGATGACTTCTAAGTTGATCATATTTTAGTGATCTACTCAATCAAGTCAGTTTCTATCAAGAGGCAAAGTCATTCTACAAGGACTTATTCGAGCTGAAAAAATCACTTTTGAAGACACTAAGGAGCTTCTTTTAATTTCTACTTTATATTTTTATAATAAATAAATTATCTATTTATTTATTAAATGAAACTTTTATGTTGAAAATAATAATGGATATACTTTGAAATCATTATTATGTAAGAAAAAAACTTTCAATGGGTAGTTTACTATTTATTATTACTTTTCTATATTTGAAGAATCTTTTTTTCTTGATAATTGTGACCTTATTCTTTAATTTACGTTTTTATATTTTTCTATGTTTATTATTATAAAAAATCAAATACACTTTTACTATATTCTGCTACTCTCGTCACCATTTCCTGGAGAAACCCTACTTCCTTCATCTCGTGATTTCACTATCTAATTCTCTATGTCAAAAAAATGAGTTATGTATTATATGCCAACCACCAAGCATTCATCAAAAATTACTCTCCAACTAGTTAAAAATATAGCAACATTGCATTGCATGAGCCAACTGCATTTTCAATGATGCTATCAAGCTTTGTTTAGCGAGAGAATATGAAGCCTCTAATACTATATATAATCATGAAATTTGCTATCAACGCGATCAATAAAGACTAGGTTTACGAATTCCTCTTTGCTCGGAAATGGCAACGATTTTGAACTGTTACAGGATCATTCCTACTAAAATCTTACCAAATTCTATTGTGAGTATTATGTCGATGATTATATATATGCGCACGAAAAAAGTTATTTTGGTTCATCAACTTTTAAGTTGTTTATTAACAGCAAAAGAAAATAATGATGGTTTTGTATTGTTTTCTTCTTCTGCAATTCGAATGATTGGATTAAAAAATAAAGTTAGGAACTGGACAAACAAATTACGTTTTGTTTGTAGTAAAAATCAATGGCCAATTCCTGCAGCTCATCAAGCTCCATCTCGAGTTCCCAACCACTGCCACCTAACTATGGTTTATCAACCTTCGTCATCAACTTATAGCCTACTGATCATTGTTACTTGACTACAATCATCTAGCCATTTTTGTCTGCCAACCTCATCACCCGTTGACACCAAAGAAAACGTTGAGGCTGATACATGCAATTGAGGCTCACCATCGCCTTCAAGCCAGATGCATGCCATCAATGCACATCATTGTATATAAGGCCAATGAATGCCTTCTGCACATGTTATCATCTCTAAAGCTGGAGCACAATGTTGACGCAAGCCATCATTTATCAAGTGGATGCAAGTTGTTGATGCATGTCCTGACCTTTGAGCTAATGCACAATGCTGACATATGCCATCGGTTGGTTATCGAGGTGATTGGCATCGTCAACACTGAGGCTAACACCATCCAACTTCACAACCAATCATCATCAACAATATTGCCGTGCACAATCACTGAGAAGACAAAAGCATGTAATCCACTCCAAAACGACACTAATCTTGGCCTCCTTGATCTTCTCAAAGAAAGATGAGCAAGCATACCACAAACAATCATTACAAGATAATTCTAAAGCCTCTAAACTCTTTTAAGTTCCATTATGGAATTAATTCTACCTAATTTTTATCTACTGCAATGTATCAAAACTTCCCCAAGTGTCGGCAAGGGCATCAATTAAAATTTATAATACATATTAGCGGAATCATTTCAATTGGTCAAGCCACGTGATTTTTTCTTTCACGAGTTTTTCATATTAATACTCCGGTGTCTCTTCTCGTAATATTTTTATCTATTTGTGTTTATTAAATATTGTATAAAGTTAAGACATTAATCTATCACTCTATTGCCCAATTTTTTTAGCATGCAATAATACTCAAGCAGATATTACAGGTTATGTGATTACAAATGTTGGTGAATGAGAAGTTGTAAAAGTTGTTAATGATGATAATAAAAGAATCCCTTTGAAAGAAAACAACAGAGAGAAATTTCAAATTTAAAAAAAAAAAAACTCACCATGACATTTTGAGAATTGGTGTTAAAACTGTAAAACATAATCATTACAAATAATGCATGAATAAGAAAAACATTTTTAAAGTGAGTCGTTGTTCCTTTTTTTAATTAATTTGAAACATCTAATTCGTTGTTGTCTTATTTTACTGTAAAAAATCATCTTGAATTTAATAGAATTAAATGATATAACAACTTTAATAAGCTCGTTTCCCTAATAATGCATCTTATCTAGGTAAATTATTGTTGATACCGGAAGGAGAGACCCAACCCACAATAGAAAATAGAATTATTATTGTTGAATTTCAAGGAATTACAAACAACGACACCTGCAATAAGAAAACACCATAAAAACACAAAGCTAGGGTGTGGATTGGTGGTGTTGTAGTTGTTCGAAGCTAGGGCGTGGATTGGGATGGTGGTGTTGCCGTTGTATGTGGGTTGGAAGGTGATGGCAGCATGAAGGTGTAGGAGGGGTTATACGAGTTTGGACTACAGTGGGGAAAGGAAAGAGGAAGGGTTGTTGTTGGGCTGCAGGGGTTTGACTATAGTCACAGAAATAGGGGAGAGGTGGCCGAAAGGGTAAAGGCACAGAGCAGCGCGGCAGGAAGGAACACTGCAAGCTGTCTGGAAAGAATAAGTGGCGGGCAGGATAGAGACAGGTTGGGATGGATTACGGCTGGGAGGAGAGAGCGGGGCAATAGTGGAGATGGGAGGGAGATGTTGCAAGGGTGATTGGCAGCTAGAAAGCTGAGGCTTGCAAGAAAACCTACGGTTAGGAAAGGTCTTTAAGGGTGGCAGCAGAGCTAGGGAAGGCTTGGAGTGTGGGGGGGGGGAAGTTGGAATGCAGAAGCCCTACCCCTTGTTGAACCGGGTTTGAACCGGTTCAACCCCAAGTCCCCGTGTCAGTCTCCCTAGGTTAGAGGAGCTTCGACCTCATTCGTAGAAGCTTCTGGCTCCTCATGGCATGGTGTCAAGTCCTCTAGCACATCGAATAAGTAGATGTTTTCGTTCCAAAGCACATTATGATAGAAGAAATATCCATCCACCTTTAGCACAACCCGAGCAAAAACTGTAGATAAACGAGTATTCTCACAAATCAGGTATCGCTCCATCCCAGTTGTAACATGTTTCTTCCACTCCTCGTACCCGAATGGGTGCAACTGATAACTAGTATGAGATGAGAAATTCACTCTTAGTTGAAATCTGTGACAGACTGCACCACTCTCACTTGCTCTCCCTTGAAAGAACTTTCTTCTCCACTGATAGAACCATAATTCCATTGCAAAATTTTCGTCCCCATCAAGCTCTCGCATGGACAATTGATGAGGTGTCCCATGCTAACCTGAAAGTAACCTCTGAATAGCTCCATGTAATATTCTCGACGTGACAACAATTACTTCATTTCTGACATGTTGGACCTCCCTCCGCCGAGGCAACTCAGGAGGGGGTTTGTTCATCTAAAAAATCTACATCTCGCTTATTCGTGGTGGCCCTATATCTTATGTCGGCTCCTCACACTTGTAACCCTTGTAGACATCCAAGATCGATCCTTTTGATGTTCCACTCAAAGTCTGCAAAATGCTAGCTCGAGGCACCATAATCTCATACACAATTGGACTGTCCATTACCTCGAAGTTACTACCTTCTAAGGACGTGACAGTTTCCTCAGCTGGAATTTCTATCTCAAGATCAACTGAAATTGGTGGTGTCTCTTTCTCATTGGCTGCAAGTGGAGAATCCTCTCTGACGTCTTCATCTTCTCCCAGACTAACCATGTCAGTGCCCAATTTTTCAACAACGCCCTGCTCAGTGAAATAGATCTCTCCCTGGTTGCGCATTTTGATTCCACAGCCCAAATATGTGACACTTGCAACACTTCTGTGACAGATTTAGGGATGAGACCTAATCTCACCTATTCTCTAATCTGAATCAGTTTGTCCTCTAACGAGGTTATCTTAGGTGTTCCCTTGTGTGCACTTTGACTATAAGATCCTGAGGTTGACCTCTACCTGTAAAATGTGAGGGTAGCTCGGTGGTGTGGTCCCTCCATTTTTAAAGCCAGATTTTGAAGTTTATGTCTGTAGTGAACTCGTAGAACTGGTACTGTGTCTCCCGCTTCATCCTCAGATTCTCTTGTTCTCTCCTTCGACTCTCCAGATCACGGTCGAAGGTAACCTTCCATTGAATTTCATCCTCAATGTTTGTAAGCCTCCACTGAAGCCAGCGGATCTCCAGCCGTATCTCTTCCTGTGAAGGCTTCGGCATGTATCTACTTGTGGCATGATTAGGATTTTAGGTTAGAAGGTGAAAGAGAGTGTAGGAGACTCGTTGAAAGTGTAGGAAATGTATCTACTTTAGACTAAGCTAAGTATTCATTTTATTTTTGAGCGTGTTTATTAATTTGTTCAAGTCCTCATCCTATTAATTTAGGTAGGCCAAGTTCACTTATAAAAAACATTTAAACAGTTGAAGTACAATAACTATATGAAAGCTTGGCTCAAATTCGAGCTGAACATAAATAATTAGTGATATCTAGGCTAGATTACAGCTTTAACAATCCTCGGTTATTGTTATCAACTAAAAACATTTTAGAATTGAACGAGTGCGATTTAATAATATAAATATCGCTGCTCTTCGCAGCATTTTGGCTAATAGAATTATTACCTCATATAACACAATAACCTTAAGAAGAGGATCCACTAAAATTCTCATAAATAATTCGGATGAAGCTGACCAACCATGATGAGGATAATAAAAACCTTCATGCTCAAATAACGATATCAATGGTTAATTTTAACAGATATTTCCAATTCTCTCCAGCATTTCCGTCCCCCTTTACCCAAACTTCAAAACTAACACAAATAACATACCTGATTCGAGCGCTTCATCGCCGCAGCCTCCCATCGCTTCGAAAGATTGGCAGTGAAGCGGAACCGACGCTTAGGGTTCTTCACGACGCCGCATACCTTCCGCCACCGCTGAAGAGGCGTCCTCCGACGAGTTCTTCGGCAGCACGCCACCAAAGTTCTGATTTAGATAACTCTCCATGTCCCCTCCAGTTCTCCACAGACCGATCCCCTCCCCGGTGTCTGGAGCAGACTAGCAATGGTCCTCCCAGTCAGCTTCTTCTTCCTCAAATCAGAGATCCATTCCTGAAAGGAATAAGGCAAAGGAAGGAGAGATGGAGCGTTGGAAACAGATCCGAAAATGCCTCAAATAAGGAGCAGGAGAGGTCGCGGAAGATTCGGGGAAGAAGGAGAGGTGGAAATCTCTGCTCGAAATGGGGGGAGAGAGAGAGAGAGAGGCTCCTTCACGGCTGGACTGCGGGGTTTCTTCGTTAGAATGTGCGAATGTCGTAAAGTGAAGATTGAATTTCAGGATATTAAAAAGCATGTATTTAAAATGAGTTTTTAAAATTTATTAAACCTATTTTAAAATTAGTTAAATAGGGGTGAAACGAGTCTCGCTCGTGTTTGGCTCATCAAAAATTATTATTATTCGTGTTTGTCTTTTATAATTCGAACAAAAAAATATATTTGTGTTCCACTCGTTTACTTAGGAAGACGAACATGTCCAACACTAGCTGTTTGCAAACAAATAATTGGTTTAACTACCCTAATCAAGCAGTCGTTCGATGTTAATGATTATGATGAAATTTAAATTTTATTATTTATATTTAAACCTCATTTAAATATAATTTAATATAATTTTTATATTCTATTTTTTAGCTAATAAATTTAATTGTGTTGTAGTCAATTAGAATTTTTAAAAATACTACTCATCAAACTGATGCGTGTTAGAAAATTCGCGGTAGCAGAGCGATGGATTATCGTTTTAGCATTGTACGAAATTTCAGCAAACACTCATGCGAAAAAAAAACAACCAATATTGACACCATAAGATTTTATGTGGAAAAACCCATAAAAGTAAAAAAATCATGGGGCATGACCCAATTGTAAGAAATTCACTATTGTTGATGATTGTAACCACCTCGTCCCACAAACGGAAAAGAAAGGGTTACTTGTTTTTTCAAGTTACAATGTCGACTGACGGCTTACGGTTGGTGGTGGTCGACGAAGATTAGTGGCAATCGACGATAGCCAGTGGTCGATGACGATTGGTGGTGGTTAACGGCGACATTAGTGCTCGATGACGGTTGATGGTTGTTGACGGCGGGCGACAAACGCCGG